AGTCACAACCCAGGGCCCTCAGGACCAGAGGGAGTTGCATTATAATGGACTACGGCAAGTTGATCATTCCCACTCGGGAGCATTTTCAGTTCTGATTCTACAGCCTGAGTCCTGCATCTACAGCCTGTCCATCCGTTGGAGCAGATCCCTCTCTCTTCATGGCCCTCCCTGAGGTTTCTCAGATTATTCGTTGTTTGCCGATGGAGGTTCTAAGCACATGATCCGGAACATTTAGGGACATTTCTGCATTTATGGACAGTGGTCCTCCCTCTAGCCCATGGATCAATGGCTCCTCTATGTTTGACATTATTGCATTTCCTGTGTTTGAACTGTTTGATTCTCTGAACTGTTGTTGCTGAATTGACAACTTTGTAAATAATTCAATCCGATTGAATTAAATTGCTGTTATAATGTGTTCTTGGCAAAAATACTAGGTCAAAATGCAGATGAAAAGTTGAGTCGTTTAAAAAAAAAATCACTATTGTTATTGAAGAAAAACATAATGCATGAAAACAAACAACTAAGCCTTATTGTACTATTATATTAAAGGCGCTATACCCGTTTCTGCAATGTTTGAATGTTTAGCACCGCCCCCCAACTCGCTCAATGGCTTCTCATTTCTCATAACACAGAGCCACCTAGTTTTATTTACGATCTGATACATATGCTAACATTAACATTAGCGCAACTTCTTGTAAGCTGTGCAACAATCACTGATGAAATGGCACTAAAGCAACGCACTGCTAACACAATATATAAGTAAAAGAATACCGCTAGTTTCGCGTCCTAATGTATTAATTTAAAACCTTAGAATATATTCTAATATTTAATTATAATGTGTTATAGAGCTCCTCAAAGCAGCAGCAGCAATTCTTCCGATCATTTTTTCTTGATAACAGAACTCTCAAACCAATAATGACCGAAGCCCCAATGCAACCTCTGTTTGTAATTCAGGTGTGTAAAATACTGCCATTGCTCTGCAAGTACAAAACGCTATCAGCACCTGTCACTACACACTTGTCTGTGTAGAGAAGCCAACGGAGCTAGCGGAGCTAGCCACGCTCAATAAACAACTACATATCTATAAATCAACACCATTAAACGTCAATCGGACAATACAGTACACATATACATCCTTAACACACATGCACGGATGATTTCAGAATTTGCTGTTAACGTTTTCATGACAAAAATACTGTTTCAATGTGACAAAAAGCGATTGCGAAAAACCCGGAAGTTACCATGAAACAACTAGCTAGCTTAGCTGTTACCTGCCTAGCACATCCCGGTGAAACCTTTGGGAGCTAACTATTTTATTTGCAGTCATTCAATACATTTTGAATTACAAGGGTTGTCTAATATTTGTTCAAATTTTTTTATTCAATAATTTTTTTCATCATTTTTTATTTTAGAATTATATTCGAATTTTGAAGTCCAGCGCTGTAGGGGCTAGAGGACGCAGGCTGTTCGCTGCTCGTTCTGTGAGCGGAGGAGAAAGAGCGGCCCGCTCAGACTCTACTCAGCACTTTTCACTGCTTGTAATTCTTACACAGCTGAATCAATTACCTCAAGTTTTCAATTAAATGATGTATTATGATACAACTTGTATGTAGTAAAAAGCATTTTTATGAACTACTTAGAAAAAAAATCGGGTATAGCTTCTTTAAGCCTAATTCCATATCCATATCTATTTGTATATCAAAATGTATACATTTCCTTTATTAAAGCCAAATGTAAATAAACAATTCCCAACTCTTGTCATTATTATAATCATAATAATTAAAATCCACTCACCGTCCATCACAACATGAATATGTAGGTATAAAATGTATCCTTTTGGAAGCTAAGATAAGATAAGTGAATCTTGCCACAGTGGGGAAGTTTCAATGTTGCAGCGCACATACAGGACAGTAGTGGAAGCACACAAATTATACTTTATAAGTAGCTCCTATGCTTCTTAGAGAGCTGTCATAAGCTGCCCTGACCCTTGGTGTTCTAAGTTAGCTTTGAGCAAAAATGTTCGCTCAGCACTGCTAAATCAGCTTTGTGTATGAATTCTAGAATAAAAATGGTCAAAGTAAGTAACAAGAGAAGCAGTCAAAGAGCACAGCCAAGAGGTACAGTTCTGTTGTGTTAAAAACTATTTCTGAATCCAAGAGTTGTTTTAGAGTTATGTATGTTGCAAGAACAGTTGGACAAACAAACCCTGGCGGTTACTCAGACAGACATAAGTCGCTCCGAAAATAAAATGGTCAAAAGCTATTAAAAGTCCATGTTGTCTATTTTGCTTGAAGCTGGGATACCTAACTTTCAAACCATGTTTTTTTCCTAAAGAACTATGTAATTATAATTCATCAAACTAGTTCTTTGCTTTAAAAACAGTTGGTTCTATCACTAGTTTTCACATGCATTTCTGGCCTCTGTCACTTTGTTTACAGGCAGAAAAATATTGTCTATATATTCAAAGTATACCATGTTTTTTAATAATTGTTTTAATAATTTGTTAGACAGTTTGGTTTAGAAGAATCTTAAAAAACAAAATGGTTAGGTATCCCAGCTCACCATAAACAATGACTTTCTATGGGAGACACATCAAGTCTTGAATTTTTAAACGTTTGTTCCCGTCACTTGAGCGGCCTTCATTCAGGTTCATCAGCAGCTCATAACTTGAACCCATCTGCTTAGCCCCGCCCCCCCTAGTCCGGTTGCTGTCATCTGCCTGTCAATAAAACGCCTGTGTGACAAATGTGCGTGGGAGCGTCTTATACACTCCCCGCATTTGCAAGTAAAGAGCCTTACTGGGATCAGCGGTACATTCTGGTTAGTGTTAGGAGGAGGAAGCCCACGTCGCTCTCGGCCGGTCAGCGTGGAGTCTGACCGCGCAGACGGTGGTATACTCACATTATACTGGCTTCCATTGAATCGATTGGACTTCAAATATTTCCTCAACCATTTGGTGGATCACTCTTTGAGTCGGGATGTTGAAGCTTGGAACTGAAATCTACCTCATTGGGGCATCTCTATCATTTGGTTTTAGGCACTTTCTCTTTGTTAGAGGCTTGTAATTAATAAAGAAAGAGGAAAAATATGTGTGTTATTAGTGCTCCTTCATGTTGGAAAAAAAATACATTGCTTTCTTCAAGGAGTGAACATTAAAGGTTTAACTATGTGCATTTGTTGGTCACGGAATAAAACATAAACATTTGCTTGTTTGATCTTATTTTGAGTAAAGTTTGACAACATTCAGCAAAAGCACATGCTCAAAATGTCTTGTTTAGCTTCAATTGAGACAATGTTAAACAATTTATCTTAACAAATAAAACAGTACTGGGAAAAATCTCAAAACAAACACATTGAGAATGTTTTATTTTAGGCTTGAAGATTGAAATAAAAAAATCTAAACAACAATCATTAAGAACTCAATACAATTCAATTCAGTACAATTTTGCTTTGCTTCTTAATTAGTATATTTTGGAGTTGATTAGAAAAGGATCTTCATATTTGTGTAATACATAAAGTAGTATTTAAATTAATAGTATTGTTATCAAGATGGGTATACATGCTCGCAATAATTTTCAATAATTAATTCAAGTACACATCTTAAATTCACATTCTATTTATAAACCTTGATACAACTCAAATTAAATACATTATATATTGGCCAATTAAACAAGCATAACATCACAATTTCAGTCAAACTAAAGATTTTAGGCTTGTTCCATATGTTTTTACACACAAATGTAGATTAAAAAGGACCATTCTCCAACATATAATTTATGACTTTCTGCAATGTATGCTTGCTCCATCTGCATTTCTTAATTTAAACTAATCCAAGCCCCCTCTCATCAAACACACTTCACACACTCAGTCGGATGATTCCTTCTCCGAGTCTAATGAAAATGTAGCTTTCACATCTCATGCGCAGCGATTGAATGGGATAAAGTGAATAGTGTAGGAGGCAGAGAAAGCAGCCGGATTGGGCCTTTGTGAGAGGAGCTGGAGGCTGGAGGAGAGCGGCTGACCCAGGAGCCAAAGGGCCTGACACTGCAGAAACCCCCTTAAAAGGACTGTGGGGGCCTGGGTCTGGATGAGCCGCGGATGCCAGGTCACCTCCCATACAGCTTCATGTCTGGGAGAAAAGACAAGCTATCTATTTCACAGGTTCAGGAAATAAAAAAATATATATGTTGTTTTTGTCTGTGAGTAGATTATGGACTGGTTTAAAAAAGTTGTTCAATAGAATCTTATATTTTACGTAAATTAGGGCAAAAACAAACACTGTCTTGTATTTAGTAAACAATGCCGTGTGTTCAATTGTCAAATGTTTTGCCTCGTGAGAAATTGCTTTTTTACATGTGTTTGTTTTCTATTGGCATACAAAAAATACAAATACATGCTTTTTCCCTTTACATTTAATTATACGATCATAATAAGACATAACTAAATAACATATCGGTTTTACTGCAACATTCTGAACATTAACTTTATTCATGTTAGCCCCATTTGTATGAAACACTGCCGCTCTAACATTGCTTATAGAATGCTGTGATGACATGTGACACTCAGCCATTTCAGCATAAATTAAAATCTATTTTTATTTTTCTCATTAACTCTTTAATGTAGATTGCCATTGTCATACCAACATTTTTTATCAAGTCTAATACCTGAGACACTTACTATACTTTCAATACCGCAATGATTTTAAAATGCGCTGCAAAATGTAATATCTATTTTTAATTTTGTCTTCATGCATTTCTTTTTTATATTTGTACGAATGTGTGTTTTTGTCTGTATGTGTTTTCTATCCTTGTATAATTTCTGTATATTGTGTTCAATCGTATCATTTTGTTCATCATGGGAAAAAGATAAAATAACGTCTAAATGAATATCTGTTTTTCAATATTTGTGCTAACCCATGTAGCATCAAACTGTTGGATTGCTTCTTTCATGTGCTGTTAATTGGATCCTGTCGAAGCGTCCGTCGTTCAGATTGTGTTGAAATGACAGTAGCAGTTCTTCCAAAAGGCCCCGGCTCCGCTCTCCCGAAGCCAAAGGTGACGGCCCCTGCTCTTGTCTCCACTCGTCCTCGCCTCACGCCCTGCGCCTAACTCCCCTGTCAGCGTGCTCGCCGCTTGGCTGCGTTGATTGAAATCAGCTCTCCGTGTCAGAGCCGTCATATCTGCCACATAAAACATGCGCACATCAATGGTGGCGGGAGCAGATCCGTGCTGGGACGACCCGGAGAAGGTTACGTGCTCCTGGGGGGGAATGGTGGAGATCTTCAAGGACCTCTCTCCGTGACTCCAGACGAGATCAAGTGTGTCTGTGTGGGGTTATCACAGGTGGGAAAGCGGCGGGAGCAATTAGCACGCTCGGTGGGCTTTTTGATGCTGGGAAAGGTAATGCGGAAAAGGCAGGGTCCAGTGTATGAAAGTCATTTTGCAGCCTGTTGTTGTCGCCTTTGAAAGGAACAAGCTTTGAACGTGACCTGTTATGCAAAGAGGACATTTAAGAGCTTCTAATTATGTAATAATAGTGTCCTTTCTTGTTTATCTACTCAAACATGGCATGTTTACATGTTGTATACTCTTACTGTTGCTTTGCATTTTACAAGAACACGTCCACTGACACGGCAGATGATTATGTAGCTTTGCAAAGACATTTTGGCTCGAATGAACTTAAGTGTCCATGCCCCAGAGTGCCCATGTGTCCTCATTGTGTACGTGTAGGTATCATACTATATTTGAAAAACTCAATACAAACACACGGGTAATGTCCTCATTTCTACAAAGGGATACAACTTGTGTTTGTTGTTCTGTTGGTGATGCATACAGATGAAGAAAGCCTAAAATTTATTTAGGAAAAAATAGAAAATAGTTTCCCCGTGTGTTTTTTTCTGCAAAACTGGGAATTTATTGCATAGACACTCCTTAGTGGTTTTCATATGAAAAGGATCAACTCTTTCAATAATAAAATTTATAAATAATACAATAAAGTATATTAAAAAAAAAACTCTTAATGTTTTTCTTAAAGGTTAATGTTTATTGTACACTGTCCCTGTCACCTTCAATAAATACATAAACTAAACTAAATAAACTAAAACTTGGTCAGGCATCAATGCACCGAGCCATTGTTGCAGAAAGAAATGTATATTTGTTTATTTTTTGGCACAATCTTCCTGAAAATGTAAGAAAGACCAAAACTTTGCCCATGTTTAAATCCAGACTGAAAAAATGACATATAAATGAAACGATTTCAAAGAAAGAAAACTATTTTCTGCCACTTGTGTAATTTGTCAACAAATGAAAACTTTAGTAATGAATGCTCTGACGGTAAATATCATGAAGGAGAACTCTGCGATAACAGCCTGAAGATATGAACTAACTGTATATCCATTTAATGCTGATTGTTCATTAGACCTATAACCAGTTCTAATTCACTTAGGCTTCCTGTAATTGCATGTAAGTGTTTGCACAATAATAAGAAAAACAGGGTAGAGTAATTGAAATCAATGGGAATTAGAGTTTTTTTTTTTTATTTAGCCTCAACTTATTCATGCGCAAATACTAATGTGAGCAATGAGAACAACAATACTATCAATATCATTTTATTTATAGGAAGAAGGGATACATCATTAAAGATAAAGTCAGCCAGTTTGTTGTTTGAAAGCACAAAAAGGACACAACACATATTCTCCGCTTATGTGGGGCATAAGCAGCTGAGATAAGTGTGTCCATCATGGATCACTACAGGAGCACAGCTCAGAATGGACAAAGATACCAGAGGAGCCAAAAACCAGCTCCTGGAAGAACAGTCGCACCAGACTATAAAACCCTGCACACCAACCTGACCCTTTCCCAGATCCAATGCAACAAAGATTTCACATACTTGGTACATTGTATGCATGGAGCTGGACAACATCAACAGGACTCCAAGAGCCTTCGTAGCAAACTCAAGGAGATTGTCAAAAACGTTTGCATGTCCATTCCGTGTCCCGTGTACAAAGGCTATGCTAGGAATGAGGAGAACCACAAGTTCAATTCAAGTTATTGTTGTACATCCCTAAATCACAGCTATCTCAGAGGACTTTACAAAGTTGTTGATTCGCCAGCACAGATCAGACAAAATGAAACAGTTTGAACACAGAAAATGCAATGATAAAATAAACATAAAGGGTTCAGATGACCAATGTCAGATGACCAATGTCTATACATTTTAATAGATGTCCAGAAATGTCTTTAATCGTCCTGGATCCTGGATCATCAGCCCTGTTAAACAAGTTGAACGTATTATGGCCTTGTACTAATGCAGTAAACTTCTTTTGACTACCCTTGTGATGTTATTACCTAAGTCTAATTGTGTGAAGTCTTCTGAGACAAATACTGTTGTGATTTAGGGCAATACAAGAATACATTGAAATGAATTGATTACTGTAATACTGTGAAAAGAGTATTTGACACAGCTGGCAGCGTGTTAGCAAACCCACAAAGTGACGACAGTGATCCGCTGTCCATGCCTTCCTTTGTCCATGTGTGTCTCAGTCCTTGGCCCATGTTTCTCGGTCCTTGGCGCACAGACTTCCCCTCAGCCTAATGACTCCACCGCAGCAGGAGGACGCGGGGCGTGACGGACACAGCGCTCTACATTCTGCACTTGACACCGGTTTGCATGCTCCTATCCTCCGCTAGCAGGCTAATGCTAATGGGGGCTATCCCCGGCGGTGACGGCCCAGACGTGATGTCCTGATAGCTTCTGTGTGCTTAATTCACTAATGGGAGCGAAAGGTGATAGGCTGTTAGCATGCCGCCTGACATCGACTATTACTGCCGCTAATTAGGCAAGTTTGTAAAGTTGGGGGTGAGATAAAACTGCTGAATCTATCTCTTTCTCCTTCATGTCATAACGGAAGGCTTGAAAACCCAGTTTGCAAGACAGGTAATCATTTCAACTTGGGTAAATTGTGTGCACAAGTTTTGTCAAAGTTTCGGCGGCTGTAGCGAGCAGAGATCTGCATATCAAGAAGTTAGACGTAGTTAGAGTAGTAATGATGTTGGGAGTTGCTGGTGCACTCCTCCACTTTCCATTCTTCTGAATAGGATTTGCAAAAGAGTAGCAGAGCTTGTTTTAAAGCTGTAAAAGGTGACCTATTCTGTTGAAAAAGAAGACAAAACTTCTAATCATGTTGTAGTTGTTTTCCCATCTAGTTCGCCCAATTAATTTGTAGATCGTTGTTTTTCTGTCCTATCAGAGTAGCCGATCAAAAACATACATTCTCTTCAGACAAAAGTTTAAAACAAGGGTCTCCGATGTATACCTCATAACTAGAAGTAGTTCACCACCATGTTCCATATTCTAAATCTAATCCTGGAGTTGTTTGGAGCACACTCATGGCCCCCAACCTTTCTCTCCAATGGCTTTGTTTTCAAACGTTTTATACTAGGACAAATCCTCAAACTATATGTCGTGAAGATAGCTGTCTTCTGCCCTGTAAGAAGTTTATTTCAAAAACAATTTTTATGGTTATGGATTATGAGTTTTGATCTGAATCTGAAATTTCTGTTATATTGCATAAATGACCAGATACTCCTCCAAAAATAAAACCAACAATAAGGACAACAGCACTGGCTAAATGTGGTCCGGTAAATTGTTACTTTCCACCCCGCATTATGATTATCTTCCGACTTTTTGACAACCAAAACAAAGGCTGTGCATGAAGCTTGAGCACAGACACACAGCCTTCATCCATCTGACACAACATGCATTTTGTTTACCCCAAAAAACTTTTACTGCCGCACTTAGCCAAAGTTTGCCCACTCCGTGCAGTTGTTGCGAGCGGCTTGACATCTGCACATCAAAAAAGTGGACTCCCATTATTTGATGTTGCTAACAGCGTTCTTCCCATCTGCCGTTGTCCATTGATGAGGCTCGTTCGGCGGTTAGCATCTGGTGTGAGTTAGCGTGGCTCAGGTAACTGTCAGGGCTGGATTAATCGCGTATGCACCTGCAGGAACAGCTGTTGGCGGGTCGTGTGTTTGGGTGGGTGTACTGGCTTGCAGGTGGATGGCTTCGTACAGCGCGCCGTTCGTTAGCAAGTCACTGGAGCTAGCTTGTCTGCCTCCCCGCTTGTTAAGATGCCCGTCACATTGTTGTTGTATTTACTTTGAGATTTAGAGGCTACTTGTTTCACATTGTTTACGTACGATCTGACTCAGAATTTTGCAGAATTTCCTGGTTGGAAGTTCCCGGTTGGAAGTTCCTGCGCATTTTAGCAAACCCAAAGCAAACCAGCACCAAAGTCATTTATATAATACAAGTTTCCCGGTAGCCCTAACATTTATGACAACAGAAATGGTGGCCACCTTTACTTTTGTCAAAATCCTTTGTTCAAACTTGACATATTAGAGACAATTAAAGTCATAAGACATAGTTAAAGTAAAGACATAGACAGTCTTACCATGGAATTTTATGTCACAGCAAATCTGTCCAGGAATGAAATATCTCTGATTGCAGAACTGTGTAGAGAACTTCTTCTGTTTGCCTTAAAACTGAAATAAAGTCAAAAGTGAAATTTAATTGTGAACTTTGAATTAGAATGTTAAATTTAGAAACAAGGGTAGATGAAATGTTCACTTGTGATCCTAATTTGTTCGGACACAATGACAACATAAAGTTAAAATGGTGTTTAATTGAATAATGCTTCTTTAAGTTAAGCCTGGGAAAAGTTTGTTGTGTTGTGAAATGTATGTGGTTGTATTTGCTGTAACTGTTGTATTTGTATTAAAGGTATGTTATTAGACCATGGGGAGTGGGGATTGCTACTGTATTTGGAAGACATGATAATGGAGTTAAGATATCTCTCCATCTCTTTTTATGAAACTTGATTTCTTGATGCTTAATTGTCTTTAAGTTTGATGACACATGTGGAAGGATTCCATTTGAGAACTCATCGTAACTTCCTATACTTATGAAAATTGTATAGATATGTACCAGGAGTGATCTCACATTGTCAGAGGTGTTAAATTGATACTTGTCGCACTCAGGTTTCACAGTGTGTGATGGACCTATGCACCAATGTTTTAGCAAAGCAAGGTTTTGAACATCAACATGACTAAAATCATGCAGGAGACAACCTTTATCATATTCTACAACAAAGTAAATGATGTATTTTTCTATGCGTATTAATGCAAATATCTGTAAATGTGCCAGTAGTAGCAAACATGTAAAAAACATGTAATTTTAACATCTGTTATGGGAATGCAGATGGAACATAGATTGCTACATAAACAGATATATCACAAATATCCACACACATTTTCATACAGTTGGATTATTAAACATATGAAGCACATTCTGAAAATGTATAATGTTTGGTTCGTTTTTTAGCTTTTTTTTAGTAACCTAAGTATATTTAATAAAATCCATCAATCACCACTTTAAACACATAATCATATTATATCCTGTCAACTTAATTCTAGATTTATTATGCTTTTTTTTAAAGTTAGGTAACACATATATTCAAATCAGCTTGTGATAGGAATTATTTAAAAGAGCTTTCATCAAAAAAATAGAAAAAATAAAACTATATAAATCATCTCGATGGAGGTAAGGTCTTTTATGTGTCTGATCTTTTATAGCACAAAACATAAACAATTAACCATCTTTAGCAAATGGAAACGTATCAAACCGATAACACAGAAGAGGAGCAGCCGCTGTCGCACCGAGGACTCCACACTGTCTCCTCTACATGATTCCACTCATTTGTTTTGCGCTTGTGCTCGGGGCCCTGGGGTGTCCCTCAAGCCTGCACACCCCCCTCCCACACTTCTTCCTTCGCTCTCGCTGTTGCGCACTTTAATTTGCTCTTTTGTGATGACGGGGCGTAGGTTAGTTCATTTCAATTTTTGATTTCAGAAGCTATCAAACAGGAGCTCAGATGAGAAATCAATTTTTCCCAGCTGCCCGGGCTTTGTGCCTCCGCCCGGGCGCCGCCATTGGCCCGGCCTGGGATTAGCCCGTCTCAATTAAACACTGCCTCTGTCATTTAGCTCCAATAACATCTCATTCCCAGACACAACTCCTCATGTTTAATGCATGAGACGCACCGCAACAGTAATTGTCATAAGGCCGCAGAAGACCAGTGCGTGAGCAGACCAGCGCATACGGCGTCACTTCTGCTTCCCCGCCGCAGCTCTGACAGACGCCATGGCCAAGCGCGTTGCGATGGCGGTACAATACTTTGACTAAGAATTTAAATAAGTCCTCATTTTAGCAAGGATTAGGAGTTGCTGCTTTTAAGAAACTAACAAAAATGTATATTAGTTGGGCCATTACACTACAATAGTATTGGTCTCGAGTTCAATGATAATTTCAGAAGCATTAAATCACTATATTTAACAATTTTTGTATTTTTTAATTGGACAACTTTTTTTACTCAACCCCCTTCTTAGTTCAAGAAATAACCTTTGGAATAGGGTTGTTAAAAGCGTCCAAACACAGATATTAATCAACTCGCTAAACCAGTAAAACTAGTATCAAACTCAAAATCTAGACAGTAATTTACAGAAATGTCATTACTGTAAAGCATTAGAGAACAAAATGTGAAATTCTTTGAGCAGTTGATTGATTTTGATCTGTATCAGAACTAGCATAAAACTGTGTGGTACTGTTAAAAAATAACTATAATTATAAATTGTCATTCATATAAAATGCAGCTCAGTTTCCAAACCAGAAATTATTTCAATCAAAAGCAAAACAACAAAACATGACATGCATTTTTTTTTCTCTACAAAACATTAATGGGTTTATATTGATTAACTGTTAATTCAATACTTGACCAGCTGAATAATGCTGTGTGTGTGTGTAAATAAATGTGAAAGATACAGTACATTGTATAAAGATTTATGCACATAGTAACAGGACACTAATATGTTTCTCAAAATCTATCTTAATACAAGTATAAAAAAAAATCTTGCTGTACGTTGAACACAAATAATTTCAGAATCCAGTTGAATTGGATTGAAGTTGTTGACATCAACAAATGCTTTGGTAAAATCAAACCAATCCAACACACCTCTTCTTCCTGTACAATCCAAATTGACAATTAGCTGTATAATCACACCGTCTCCCTTTCATACGGACGGAAGCAATTTCAGCACATACCATGAGATTATGTCCCGTTTGACAGTTGTTGTTATTCTATGCCGTCCCCATGGCAACGCGTCCATTAGAAGCCACCTCATCTGTCATATCTGCTCCTAAAAGCTTTGTAATTGCTCTCATTTGCATACTACAATTAAGTGTGTTAGCGCACAGCCAGAACAATCAACCTCCACTAAAGACTGGGGAGAGCCGAATTATTCCATCAGTGGATTTGGAGGAAAACATGCCGCCTTTTGTCTGACGGACGCAGATATGATGAATGCGATTGCGTGCGACCGATTTATATGTGAACAATTTACATGTGGCTTTATGTTCCAGGCGCAGTTTGTGTGCACCGCTGAAATGTCACGGAAAGGTACTGTAGCACAAAAATGGACTCCAGTAATTAGGCCAAAATAATCGCATTGGCCTGATGTCAAACTACTGAAGGACTAACCAGAGGGGGTGGACTTTCAATGGTACATCCTCATGATATTGGACTTGCAACACATCAAATGTGTTTGACCCTGATTTTGAATGTCTTTAAATA